TGTGCTCTTCCGATCTCCCCAAAACCCCAAAACCCCAAAACCCCAATGATCACAATTCTTTATCAAAACATGAGTAAATAGATTATTAAATTTCAAAATAATATTTATACAAGCATTGAATTGAAATGTGAGTATATAAAAAGCATATCTTAAATAGTTTCAAATTTAATAATTCATAAACATCGCTCAACCGCAAATGGAAACATCTCAAGGTGACTCGTGGTCAGCAAGAGCATTCAGAGCTCTAGATACTGAAGCTAAAGGCTACTTAGTTAGAAATGAGATTCTCTCACTTCTCAGAAATCAAGGGGTCTACAATCATCATTCTCTCTAAGAACTTATTAAAAACCTAGAGGCTATGAATGAAAATGATCATATTAATTTCTAGCAATTTTGTGATCTCACTCATGGACTCTTCTTCTTAAAAAGAGTTCTAGAATGGGACTTAACTATCCCTCATTTTGATAAGTTTAGAACCAACCTTGAGAATGGCTATAATAAAGTTAAGCTTGATGTTAACAATGAATATTCTTGGGGAGAAGTAGCAACTTACATCCCTCCTCTCGCAAAAGCAGATCCACTATGGTTTGCTACTGGATTTTGTTCCACAGATGGTTAATTCTGCCAGTTTGGTGACACCAGTAAGGTCTTCTCCATTCAATCAATAGGCAAAGTGGTAGCATACTCCTTCATTCATAATATTATGGGCGAAGATGTTCATAATTTTGTAGGAAAAGAACCAAGTGGTGTTGCCTTCAATGCTCCAGTATTTGATAAGTAAGGCAAGCCTCATAATCCAATGGTAAACACTGGTGCTATCATGGTCTGTTCTCTCATCGTACATCAAGGCAAAAATATCTAGGATTTATTGGAGTTCTACAAAAGAGCAAGTGACTAGGAAGTTATAGAGGTAGATGAGGAACTTTACTTAGAAGAGAAATTAACAGGTTACACAAACCACGCATTAACGAATTTAATGTTAGCGAATAATGTGTTTCCTAAGAAAGCCAACCCTTAAGAAACTAAAGCCTTTTCTGATGAATCCCTCGACCTTTATTTTAAGAATTGCTCAGTATTAGTAAACACTCAATCTCTAGCTAAGTTTGGTGCAATGTTGGCCAATAATGGTATTAATCCATCAACTGGGGATCGTATCTTAAGGCCGAATACGGTTAAGTCAGTAGTCACCCTAATGACCTCATGTGGTATGTATGATGGTGCAGGTAGCTTCATTAAAGATCTTGGAGTTCCTTCAAAATCTGGAGTATCTGGAGGACTTTTAAGTGTTATCCCAGGATTAGGAGCATTTTCTACTTGGTCTCCTCCCCTAAACAAAGAGGGCAACACTGTTAGAGGAATCTAATTGATCCATGAATTGAGTGCAATCTATAATAACTTCAACTTGTTCCATAGAGATGTCAACATAGCTGATGTTACTAGGAAGCCATTTTAGACATTGATTCAAACCATCATTTCCGCTTGCGCATGCGCAGCTAATGGGGACCTTGAAGGTATCTCAAGATTATTCAACTCTGGAGTAGATTTGACCAAAGGAGATTATGACACCAGAACCCCACTCCACTTGGCTGCTGCTGGTGGACATTTACATGTAGTAAAGTATTTGATTGAAATATGTGAAGTTCCACACAGTCCAAGAGATAGATGGGGAGCGACTCCTCTGAATGATGCTAAAAGTAGGGACGTTAATGATTACTTAGTAACAAAAGGTGGTGAGAGAGGAAAGGATCAACCAGAGTACAGTGAAATTCCAAACTTAACTGTTAGTGATGATTAGTATAGGCTATTTTATGCTGCTGCTGAGGGAGAAGTAAGACTGATGAAGAGTCTTCATCTCAAAGGTTGGGTTATTGATTCTTACGATTACGATGGCAGATCTGCACTTGGCCTAGCAGCTTCAGAAGGCCATAATGAAGCAGTATAATATTTGATTGACCATGGAGCTAATCTTGATCATAAAGATGCCAGAGGGAACACTGCGCTTGATGATGCAATTAGAGAAAATAGAGCTGAGACTATTGAAATACTCAGAAAAGCATTAGAGTAGAAAAAAATTTGATTAAAAACTATATTCCATTACATTTAACTAATTTTTGGATTCACAACTTACTTCTTTTCAATTTATGAATTTTGCATTAGAGGGGTTTTGGGGTTTTGGGGTTTTGGGG